GCATGTTGCTGTATGTGCCTAAATCTCTCTAATTATCTCATCAGTGAGACCATCTGCTGATATGACATTTAGTCACCCACTCACACTGATTGTTTAGCATTGTCTAAACTTTCAAAGTGAGATTGCCTAGTCATGATCAGAAAAATTGTTATAAGGTTTGGTGTTTATTTTCTTGGTTAATAGTTTCTTACCTGACTTTGTCCCTGAAAGCATGCTTGTCGTATGCATCAAGTCTCATGTTCTGCTGAAACATCGAACATTACCCAGTGGCTTATCCCGATTTATTGTCATCAGCGTATGAGATAATTTTTTTTGGAAAGGGAACTTCCCTAACGAGGGTTTCTGGGCCAGATTTCGCGCACCGACTAATCCCCCGCTGCAAACATGAAGCTTTGTCTCCTGCCCTGGAGTCACTGCAGGCGAACCTTATTGGCCACAAGGGTTGAGTGGTGCCACGATTTGAACATGGGTCAATAGGTTATCCACCATATCTTCCACATGCCTTACCAAGTCACCACAACCTAATGTCAGGTCTTTAATTGACAAAGGGTTCCCTCTTTTCTTCTAATACAGAACTTGATGATTCACTGTGTAAAACCACACACTGATAAAGTTTGAAAGTCTGTGCCGATGATTAGACCATGTATCGTAGTTTATTACACGCATCAATCCACTCTTACCATTTTTCTTCTTTAAAGCTTTATTCAGCGTATGTGTAACGCCCGCGATTCTGGCTAAGCGTTATTATGATGATTTAATAGTAAGGGTCAACAATTGCAACCTATTTTGAAGTATTGAAGAAGAATTATTTGAGTATTATGTGATTTACATGTAAATAATGTGCAATATACGTGCTTATAACGATATAATAAAATAGTAATAAAATACGCATCTAAAATAAAATAATAACTAGATCCAATATCTTTGAAGAAAGTTGAAGTAGTCGTAACAAGGATTCTGGAGATATAAGGAACGCCGAAATCTGACTTATAACAAAGAAGTTATGACCCGTCGAACTTTCGCGATTAAACCGACCCGGCTCCGCATATCGTTAAAAGTAAAATTTTGGCAAAAATACTTTTTAGCCTTAGAAATTTAAACAAAATTAGTAGTAGACATTAAATCGAGAGCATACATATAGAGAACGTCAAAATCTGACTTCATTTGAAGAAGTTATGATTTTTCGAAGATTCAGCATAACAGTGTAAAGCTCGGAAATCGAATTTTAGATCGGTCAGTTATTAGTCGACACAATCTAAATGAGAGTGGAAGATGTCATTAATAGGAGCTCAACGATATAAAGACAGTCGAAAACGGACGTTGGATAACAAAGCTATGAATTTTTAACGGACTTTAACTGTCTAAGTTTGTTAAAATATAAATTTAAAAATAAATTCAAAATTAACCGACAAAGTCTAAACGAAAGTTGTAGATCTCGTCAATAGATACACGTGGATATAAAGAACATCAAAACGGAGCTCGTATGCGAAAGTTATGGATTTTACAAGATAATTAATTTTCGGATTAACAAAAGGGCGACATGTGTCGCGATCTGGCACCCACCTTTCTCCCCACGGCTTGCCACCAGATGATGACACGTGGCACATTACGCCCAACATAATGGCTATGTACGCCCCACGTAACCCATAAAAACCCATTACGCCCCGCGTACTGGGCACTGGCCAGCTTATAAAAATAACTCGATTTTTACTCGTTTGCTCAAACCATTCCATTTTACTCTCTACCAAAGCCCCCAAGGCCTCAGTGTCTTTCTCTAGCACTTCCTAGGTGTTAGTAGTGAAGCTCCGGAGCACTAGAAATCCCCGAGAAATAGAGCTTTTGGTTTAGAAGTTCTTCCCGTGTAGAGTCCGGTTTCTCGCTAAACCACCTGTGAGTTGCGTTATGCTTACCCTACTTTATGTATAACTTATGTTTAAGTTCATTATCATTATTATGAACCTATAAAAAATATTTATCAGTGATTCCAATTCGTTATACTGATTGATCTACTTATATGGGAGATGTGTCTAGAATTGTCACGTTGGCTTGGTTGTTGGATTTCAGAAAAGCTATACGCAGAAATGATCTTGCCTCCCAACTGTCCTGCCTGGCTAATCCTTACTTGATAGATCTTGAAGTAGACTTTGAATTAATGATGAATCTAGACTAATAATTAGTCGCAATAAATATTAGACTAAGAGTTAGTGATAATGAAACTGGGTTACGTCAAAGGAAAAGACAGTTGCTAGAAGCGAAGCGTTGTCCGAATTTCGAGTCGTCACTTTAACAAGCGAGTGCATAATTATTTTCATCTTACATATAGATATGAAGTATTTAATATAAATTACATGCTATATGTGTCTATTATCTGTGTTCTTGATATCTATGTTGGATGAGTAGTTTATACATGTTTTACTTGATTTAAATTGTATATGTATTTTATACCTATAATTATGTTGGGTAAAGATGGGTAGATGAAAGATAATATAGATGATGAAAGATGAAAGATGATATAGATGATGAAAGATGAAAGATGAGATAAATGATAAGAGGCCTTGACTTTAAAGATGATCCAGTCGTCTAGCGGAGTATAGATGACGACCACAGACTATTCTAGACAGTCTAGTGGAACGCTAGCAGGCTTGCAACCTGTAGGTGTTTTTGAACTAAGTGTTCACAAGGTGTACTCCATCCCCCTCATGGTTGCCTTACTGAAATATATTGTTGAGGAATCCCCTAAGCATTATTGTCTATCTCGAAGATACTCCTTAGGATAGGTCCCTTTAATTAGATGCTTTAGGGACAAAAAGTGAGGATAACGGGAATGGGTAATCGGGTTGAATGATTTGATGAAAATAAAGAATTTAATTATTGTGGGTTGAAAACCTTATGTGCTCACCAGGCTCCCAAGCCTGACCCACTCAGTTTCTTGTATTACAGGTAGTGGCACAAAAGCATAGGTGTGATGAACAGATGAGATATTTATGGATTATAGGCCAGTAGAATAATAAATGTTTGTAAGGCCTATACTATTTCTATTTATGCTTATGTATTGTATTGACAATGAAATCCCAATGTTTTTAATATAATTAAAATAGATTTCTTCGGAAATGCTTCGGTAATATCTTTATTCTATTTTTGGGAACAAATTCTGCAATATTATTCTTCAAAAGGATACTCTGATTTTAAATAAAGCCTAAACAAATCGGTATTTTCTGGCTGTGAAATTGGGGATGTCACAGTATGAAACAATACGCTGATGAGAGCTTGAAAAATTTGTGTTGATGGTTAGCCTATGTACCGCAGCCTATCACACGTACCAATCCATTATTGTCATATCTTATTCTTTTAAGTTTTATGTTTCAACGTATGATACCAGACGCTGATGAGAACTTGATAAATCTGTGCCGATGGGTATATCATGTACCGTGGTATATTACACGCACATAACCACTCTCGCTCTACGAAGCTTCTATCAAATAAGTTAATATTTCAACGTATAAAACCATACGATGACGAGACTTCACAATTCTATGTAAGTGATCTACTATTGCAACAACACAATAGTAATCCTATGTTATCCTTTAACGTTATTTGATACTTTCTTTTCATTTCAGATTACTTGTTGTCTTCTTTAAAAAATGTAAAAAAAAAAGGCAATATTTATTGATGTTGTCAAAAGGGGGGGGGGGGGAGAGAGAAATGTTTAGTTATGGTAGGTTGTCACTTGATCATTAATACAATAGTAAACACTCTTGAAAGAAGGAGGTTATTTATCTGGGGGTGGGGGGGGGGGTGGGGGGCAAAATCTAAGAGGGAGCATAAATCAACATTTTACTTCAGATGGAGTAGGTTCATTTATTCTTTTATTCTTTATTAGTTTGGTTTTGACATCATCAAATAGGGGGAGATTAGTGGGACACATATTTATATACATTATAATTATAGTTTATCTTCTCATTGTAGACAGTCATTCTTGTCTATGTGTAAATAATATAACTTAGACAAGTTGATCTGTCAGAGTTTGTTTAGTTAGTTAATCTGAAGATATGTTGATGGAAGATCATATCTCGAAGACTGAAGATCATCTCCTGATGAGCAAATGACCCTGAAGATTCTATCAGCACCAAAGGCATTGAAAGTATTATCAGCACGAAGACACCATTCACTGAAGACTGATCAGTGTGTCCAGACGCTGATGTTCTTACACTGATGACACATTCTTCAGGTGATACACTGATGACACACGTTAATTCTTATTCTCTCTAGTTGAAGCTGAAGTTGATCAGCGCGACTCCATGACGCTGACGCTAGTTGAAGCTGAAGTTGATCAGCGCGACTCCATGACGCTGACGCTGAAGCTAAAGTTGGTCTCCCTAACGTTGACGCTGATGCTCTGATGTGCTAGAGCTGATGTCTGAATCTGGAGCTGATCAGATTTACTTGGTGAAGAGGTTTTATGAAGATCTGAACTAATCTATATACTAGATCTACTCTTATCTTAGAAGATTCAATCTCATCAAATCAGATATTTGACTTAAACGAAGATTTGGTGAATCTACAGAAGTTTTATCTCCTAGATTTAGACTATGATTCATACCAGCCTCTTTCATTAATTGAGAGTTAATGATACGTACTGTAATCTGAGAGTTTGAGTTTCTGTAGAGATAAATCTGAGAGTTCTTAGATTGTACTCGTTCTCTTGGTGAGAACATTTTTCATTGTGAAAACCCGATAAATAATAATGATTCTTTTTTGTCAAATACTTGTGTTATTATTTTGCACTTCTATTAGATTCATACACAAGTGTTGGGGTTTGGGACCTTCATAGATTTTAGTGTATTGATGAATATATCATTAGGTATTCGATGTATTTTATCTAAAAAAAAATTCAAATCCGACTCTTCTATCATAATTAGCAATCTAGTTTGTACTAATATAGAACAACCAAACATATGCATAGTTTGATGATGAATGAATCAAGAACCAAATGAGAAATATGACACTTAACATCATCATCCATGCATACATGATAATATGATATAATGATACATTACATACAAAAAGTTGCCTTCAAAGTGGTCAATGTCAAGAACCTCATGTTCTTCCACCGACAAAGCCTAGTCGTCAAATAAGTCATCCATGTTCTCATCTTACCTAGGATTCCACAAAACCCCATGTTATGCATATTCCGGAATGTTCCATTTCTAAGAAGAGAGTTTCTGGTTCCTTTTCTTTGCAGTCCTAGCAAGAGCATTACATATTTCCTTCTTCCTTTTGGAAGCAATCGTTCTTGTAGTGTTTGTTGGTTGGGTGGGACCCACATAACACTTGGCTTCATTCGCCTCATCATTCTTCTTGTGAACTTTTAGAAGAGCATCTTTTACTAAATACTTTAACCTCCATAAAGTCGATTCACTCTGTTTTATCATATAACACAAAATTGTTTATTTTTTGGAGCAAAGGGTAAAATGGTCATTTACACAGTTCATTTTACCTGAGAATCAATATCAAGGTCAACCTCTAGAGCTGTTGAGTTGAAACCCGGATTATGTCGAGCCACAATATCGAGTGCCTTGCTAAGATCCTCAGGACACAAATGAGTCAGAGCTATCCCAAGGTTTCTTTTGTCTTCAATCGACATTTTCCTGAATATATATTTTATTTTATTTTTTCAGCTTCCACATGTTTGTTACACCTGACTGACAGATTGTACTGTGTTTGACATTCATTGGACAGGGACTGTGACTGACGTACACAGAAATTGTATTTTTTTGTCCTACCCAAAAAGATGGGACAGGGACTCGCTCTTGATCTCTCTTTTCTGAAAAAGACGAAAATAGCCCTACAAACCTGCATTTCTGAACAACAGTCTCTCGGAGATCTTCCAAGTACATATCGGCTTCATAAAGCTGACATAAAATAAATGTCAATTAATGCAACTTTTACTTTTCTGATGCTATAATATTAATTAATACACAAATAAATAAAAACTCTTTTACCTCGTTACAAAGTTCTCTCGCTATTTTAGCATGAGCAGTCTCCTGAGCACGCTGCAGATTCAACAATGCTTCTACTTCCTCCTCTTCTCGCCTATTTTCCTGCTCATATAACATAAAAAAATTTTAAGAAAATGCAAAAAATAGCATTGGCAACTGTAATAATTACATTTACCTCTTCGGTAACCCTTGGTAAAAACTGAAGCCATTTCTCTTCAAACTTCTCCAACAAAGTTTTAGCCATCATATGAACATCACTTTTATCATCATTATATTTCATGGCATTCTGAAAAACCAATCTCACATCTGAACATATATCACGAACATGTTTATATTCTGTCCCATCTTTCGCCTCCATTAGATTTTTTATTGTACTGAAGTCCATAGGCCTGTCAATTACCTAATGCAAACATTTTTTTTAATTAAATATTATAAATCTATTTATGATTTATTTATATTTATGGGTGTTAGTGTTACCTCGTAATAGTCACGCAATCCAAGACCTTCAACATCTACAGGTTGCATAAATGGCCAGGCCCACTTGTGTTGTGTTATCTGTAATAATATGATTATGGAGTATACACTAATTAAATTTGCAATCCGAAAAGAAAAATGCATTCTTGAAATTATTTTTCTATATTATATAACCTGACGCAAAATTGAGCCAAATTGTCGCATAATCTCTTGCATTCTCTTAGCAGCAACTGCCTCTCTGCGTGCTAAATCTTGTTGGTGTTTCTTAAATCCAGGAATATGTTTTCCCTTTTCTTTATCTTTCACAAATGAGGTTTTTTGAGAAGCATTAGATTGTTTTTTGCTTGAGTTCAAGTAGAATTGCTCAACCTCATTTACTCTTTGCTCAAGCTGCAACAAGAAAGCATAAAGCTATAGATGAAAACACATTCAATTCAATCACCAAGAGGACAGGGTATACATAGAAACGCCATAATTGAATTCAACCAACAAAAACTAAGCATAAATGTAAGTAGATGTGAAATTTACATTCAAAATACTTGTAGATCAAGTAAGAAAAGATCCATGTTTCACCTTCTCAACCCTGGCGAACAAATCATCTACTTTATGCCCTATATCATCCACATTAGCAGCATTACTTTCCTCCATCTTCTCTACCCGATCATCTCCAATATCCATGACCAATTCTTCTTCCATTTCCTTCTTGCTGATACAAAAAAATTAAGTAAAAATCCACACAACCATTCTTAGAACAAGTGTTGCAATAATTGATACAATTATCAAATAGATCTTATTCAGTACATGAATTGCAAATATATTTTGGAATAGAAATTAGAAAACGAAATTAGCTTAATCAATTTACTTAATATCGAACATAGCGATGTAATTGTGCATAAACTTGTTCGACTTAATATTATGATGTTTATTGCGATAATTAATACAAATTGAACTGATAATGCCACAATTAACCACGATTCTGATCATACAACAGCTTGCACGAAAAATAGAAAGAGAGATTTGTACCAGAACAAATAATCGAAAGATGAATCAGCGGGGTGGGAGAAAGGGAGAGAGATATGTTACCTCAGCTTTGCAATCTTACGTCGCCAGCGCAAAAAAAAAGGATGGATACAGGCGGAAAGACGCCTCAGTCACTACGCGCCGGTTAAGAACGAGATGCCGCCGTTAAGATATGGAGAAAAGTGTCCGGCCGGGAAGTTACTGACGAGTCAAGGGAGTTTGGTGTTAGAAGCCGTAGAGGTTTTTTCGCTTGAATCGATTTCTTGACGACTAAAAAGACAAACTAAATTTCATCCACCTTCAAAAGACCCTTGTTATTACGAACATGTGTTTTTTTGACACCAAAGTGATAAAATTATCAATTTGGCCCCCTTTTATCATTTTTCTCTTTATTTACTAAACCAGGGGAATGTCTGCCACTTGTACAAAATATAATAATATAATTAAAATAGGGATATATATGGTATTAAAATTATTTTGTCATTGTTATTAACAAGGTTTTTAAGATGTGCAAAGTTTAAACAATAATTCTTTAGAGACAAAATTATAAAAATGGTTCATGTGGTTTTTCCTTTTATGTGGTTAAGGTCCAAACGTTTGAAAAGTTGTAGATTTGATCATTTTCAACAAGTTTTGTTGTGGTTTTGGTCTATCTTCCGTTTAGTTTAACTAGTTGGTTGTAAACTTCTTTAAAATGACAATTTTACCCTCAATGACCATTTTCGCAGTTTTGTCTTTTACCATACTATAAAGACCATTTTTGCATATATTTTTTTATTGAAATATAATATATTAATAAATATTATTGTTAATATATAATATTATATATTAATAAATATTGTTTTATTGGATTATTAATTTATTTTAGTTAATTCTTTTTTTGGAGTAATTATTTTTTATTGAATTATTATATATCATAATAAATATTATATTATGGGATTATTTCTGGATCAAGCCTTAGTGGGGTACATGTACGTGAAGATCATGGCATATAACAATTGGTGTTTGTCGTGCCCGTGACAATGACGTCAATTTGTTAAGACGTGTCGTAGCGCCTAACATATAAATAATATGAATAAAAATGTTGCTCAAATGCACTAAGGGGGTGGGGGTACATGAAGGTAGGGTCGAATCCACAAGGGCACGTCCTAAAGTCTATGCCTTACTTGCTTAAGCCTCGCACTAGTTTGACAACAAATTAAAGAGGGGGGGGGGGGTGATGATTATTAAAACTAATTTGAACAAAAATTAATTAGAAAAAATATGCATTTTAATTACTTGAGAAATTCATAAAATAAAATTCCGCGATGACTCTCCTAATCATGCAAATAACCTTCAATGCGATTGTTTGAATTGTTTACTGTTTAAGCTGTTACTGAAAAACATTAATAAGCTCTAACAATTTTATTTTACTAAAACGTTTAACCAAAATAAGCTATTTGAATTAAACATTACTTTTTACTGAATTAACTAAACAAACTCTTAATTAATTGAGAAAAGTAGCATTAGACACGGTGTAAGATTCCCAGTAAAGTCCAATACTTCTCACAAGCTCGAAAGCGAAAAAAAATTCTGATCAATTTATATTAGTGTTAATTTCTAAACACGGAACAAATCTAATACTTGTTACCTTTACTGATTTATTAAGACAATTACGAATATAAACAATCAGATAACTGGAATGACTCAATAGCAGTTAAAGTGGCCAACAGAAATTGAATCAAAATCAAACATTCAATTAAACATAAAACTGATCAAAGTAACTAGTAATCACAATAAAAAAAATCGTGCCTAATGATTATTTGCACGAAAAGTAGAGTCTTTTGCGAAACTTAAATCTCAGGGTTTTTAGCTTGACATGCCTACAAACTGAATACAGAAGATAAAAATAAGTTTTGAACGGTTAATCTTACTAAACTAATGATACAGATCGATTAGTGTTCTTCAGATATTCGTTCTTCACTTGGAATCTTCAGATGATCGCCTCTCTGCAGTCTCTGGTCGAAAATTAGGTTAACTGAAGGATTATGAGGCGCTATTTATATGCAGGAATCGACACTTTCTACGATCGCATTTTGACAAATGTGATTGCTTTTTTTGGTCAAAATGCGTCCCATGCCAATTAAATGAAGTGTGCTGATATTTCTGAACCTTTTAAAACTCTGAGGGTAAAATGCGACCACATTTTGGATGGATCCATGATCTCATTTTTGGCTTAATTCTTCAGATTGATTTTTTTGAGTCTAACAACCCTCGAAGCATAATACGATTGCATTTATAGGTAAAGCACGATCACATTTTCCTTTTTTCACACGGATTGATCGTAATTCTTCCACTCAAGCAACTTCTAGTCATTCATCAGCATCATTCTTCAGTTCCAACTCCAATTATGTAACACCCCACTTTCACCTCGCAGTATAAACGTCAGATTACGTAAAATAGACGTTTTGATAGAAGACTATTTGTGATAGATAGTCATGACAAAAGTCGTAGTAGTAGTAGTAAAAGCGAGATCGTACATATAAAGAACGCCTAAATCTGACTTCATAAGAGGAAGTTATGACTTTTAGAAGTTCTAGCGTAGTAGTGTAGGACACAGAAACTGAAATAGAGATCGAATGATTGTTAGGAAAAAAAATAAATGAGAGTTGAAGATCTTTTCCAAATGATTTTGTCGATATAAAAACAGTCAAGAACGGAATTCATATGAGAGTGTTATGATTTTATACGGGCTTTAACAGTCTAAGCCTATTAAAAATATAAATTTAAAAATAAATTCAAAATTAGCCAACGGAGTCTAAATGAAAGTTGTAGGTCTCGTCAAGAGCTACGCGTGGATATAAAACTCTTTGAAAATGGAGCATGTACAGAGAAGATATGTAATTTTTAAGAAATCACATATTCGCGCGCAGCCACGAGCACACACTAGAAGCGCGCACGCACCCTGATATACCACAAAAAATGAGACACGTGTCACGCAACGGCTGGAGCCATGTCACTGGCCCCGACTAACTGTGCGGCGTGCAAAGGACAAAGTGCGCGGCACACATACTTTTCCATCCTATAAATACCCCGATTTTTCAGCAATCTTCTTCACAACTTTCCCCATATTCTCTCTAAAATGTTTCTAGCCTTTTAGCCCTTTACTCCCGAGTTTCTGACCAATTCAGCGAAGCCGTGTGGTGTCAGATAGCCGGTGAATAGAAGCTCCAAGATTAGAGTTTTGCTAGTATAATTCCCGGTTTTCGCAAAATTACTCTGTAAGTTAAGCTACGCTTATTTTTATTTAAGTGTAACTTTTAATTATAGTGTTAGTCGTTATTATGAACCTATAACTAAGATTTATCAGTGATTCTAAGTCATTATAACGATTGATCTACTTACGGAAGTGATGTGTAGGCTGGATTTAGTGAGGTGCTTGAATTGGGGTTTCCAAACAGTATACTCAGTATACCAAACGGACCATACCTCTGATATTATCCTACCTGGTTATTCCTTACTTGATAGATCTTGATGTAGACATTATGTCTTTGTGAAGTTTGAAGGCGAAGCGCTGCCCTAATTTCGAGTCACCTACTCTGTCCATGTAAGTTATCTCACTATACCATGTAGTACAATATATATATATATATATATATATATATATATATATATATATATATATATATATATATATATATGTTGATACAATAGTCTCTATGCGCTTAAGTATAAACATGTAGAGCAGAAAGTATAAACGTGCTTGTAGTAGTAAAGCCCGAAGCAAAGTCTCTATGTGTGTAATATAATTATGAATGTTGGGTGAGATCCATTATATATGTATGCCGAGAGTGGACCGCCATGTAGTTTGGGCGGGGCCCGTTATGTATTTTGGGCGGGGCTCATTGTATACATGTATTTGAATTGTGGTATATGGTATCTCGAGGAACTCACTAAGCTTTGTGCTTATCTAGTTGAATATAAATGTTTTTCAGGTACCCATGTGAAGGGCACGGTTCGACTGTACACACGTGCATTCGCAACATGTTTATGCACAATGTATTCATACTCTGATATATTATAATAAATAAAAAAAATTAATTGTCTATTTTGGGATGAAATTCGGGACGTTACAAGTTGGTATCATAACTATTTTTTGAGTGAATTGGATGAACATTCGTGTGATTCCAGACTCAAACTAAGGATCTGAGTAAATTAACAAATCTTTTTATAAAAAGAATAAAACTAAGAATGCGACGCGTACAGTCAACTGGAGCTCAGAAATGAAAGTGATTCCCAATATATCCATATTTGTTATGATTGCTCATATGTGAAAAGTTAGAAATGCATGCTAATATGTAGGCTAAGGATATTTCAGGAATTGATAGTTAGAAATTGTCTGATGCCTAAGATGCCTTATAGCCTACATATTTGATTGTTAGTTGCTGCTTAAAACCTATATTTATATTAATTGGTTATTTGACAAATACATTAGGTTGCATGCTCCCAAAATTAAATAGTTTTAGGTTGCCTGATTCGGCGCTATTGCACAGCTCTCTTTTGAGTCTAACCTTCGTAGTGTCGGATCTTTCAGTCGATGGATTGTTTGATTTTAGAGGCATGTAATCGCATTCGTCGGATAGACAATTAATGTCTATAGAAGTTTTCCTCAGCAAATAGTAGGATAAAGGTGGAAGGGATCCTAGAAGGATAGTCTAGGAAGTATAGTATGTGCTTGATAGGGAACATACTTATGAAGTGAAGCGACAATAGAAATGTAAAATCCTGATGGATTCTAGGAACATGAGTAACTAGGCCCTTGTAACACTATGTGTGTGAAAAGGCTTATCAATAGATGTGTGTAGTAACATGGAAACCTTGGAGCAATTCTTGGGTCTAGTATGGATAAATGTGGAAGGTAGTATGGGCTCGTACTACCAGAAGCACAGGATCCATATATGAATCAAGAAAAGCCACAAATTTACTAAGGAGCTGGAGAGGATTCGAATATCCCTTTAGACTTATTTTGATTCGTATTAACCCATTCGCGTTACGCCTTCAATATTGTAATGATCACAAGAGCAAGCGGGTCGGGTTCTGGATCTAAAGGATTAGGACCAAGTGAGACTGAGATACACAATTAGATAAAGGCGTCAATATCCGCAGCCATGAGAGAAATGATTCTAGAGATGTTCAGATCTATCAAAACCAAACTAATCGCCATGTTCGACGAGATGTATATTGTTGTTGCTAGTACTGCTACCGCCGCAACCATTGCTATTATCATTGTTGCAGCTTCATCTGGAGAAAAGGAAATGCCTTACCGAGATTTCAACAACACCACAACCCCAGAGTTCGATGGTGTTAGAGATCCAATTGTTTCCATGAGGTGGGTATCAGAT